GGTTAGCCTGGTGATGGGTATTAAGGAGGGCACGTACTGCATGGAGCACTGGGTGTTATACGCAAACAGTGAAGCGTGGATCACTACATCAAAAATTAATGATGCATTGTATGGTGACTAACATAACATAATAAAATAGAATTAAATTAAAAAAAAAAGAAATCAATAATTCTCTGTACAATATGAAAATTAGTATGTAGGTAACTGCCAGTGAACCAAAAAAAAAAAAAGTTTTTTAAAAAAAGTTGCCTTGTGGAAATAGGTTGGGGTGGGTGAACAGCTATTGCTTTTCTTTACAAACTTTCATCTCTCCCTGCCTTCTTGGTTCCTGGGTGCCTAGTAGGCAAGCAAACAATTCAGGGTAGGGGTCAGTGGCTCAGGTTCTGGAGCCAGATGGCCTAATTTCAAATCCCAAACTCACCACTTAGAAGCTGTGCAATCTTGGGCAAGTTACTTAACTGCTCTGTGCCTCAGTTTTCTCACCCATTAAATTAGAATAAAATCTGTCGCGATAGCATCTAGAGTTTTGGGGATTATTAAATGAGTTAGTTGATGTGAAAGAGCTCAGAAAAGTACCTGGCACTTAGTAAAACCTCATGTTACTTTAGCTATGTTTAGCTATTACATATCACTTTGATAAAGTTTTTATGCAGTATTGACATGGACAGACCTCTGTAGACTGATCTAATATTTTCTCCCATTCTCAGAAGACAGAATGCATGGAGACATGATTTCTTTTTAAAATTTCTGTAGCAATATTTAGGTTAAATGTGAATTGGGAAATATTCATTTGCAAATGGACCATTCAATTAGTAAGACAATTTTAAATGATCAAGAATCAGTCATAAATGTTATGTGCAGTTGAAGTAATTATCAGGCAGAACTACTTTACCAAGCATATTAATAGTTTTCCTCCTGGACACTGACTTGAAATTTAGTGGATGAACATAGTTAATCAAAACTTTAGACTACATGAAAGGAAGTAAGTACCAGAGGAAGAACATCATGTAAGAATAGCTTATCATTCATTATTTATCCCTGAGACAGATGCTTTCCAATATATTGGAAAGCAGATTCAGTATAAACTTTTGGACCAAGACCTTGCTACAACAAAATTTTAAAATTCCAATTGACCTATCCCAGATTCACTTCTAGATTCTGTGCAAATAATATCTCTGAGCTGATGAGATTCTTTGGGACGTTCGAGCTTACATCAATAAGGATCTCTAGTGGTTCCAAAATTACAATAATGGAATGAATGTCACATTTCTGAACATTTCTCCCAAATCCCATGTCTTCTCTGGATTTGGGGCCATTTGACAATCCATTCAATTGCCTCAAAAATTGAAGCAGGTGGTTGGATGTCACGAATTGAATTTTTGCATTCACCCTCCAGATACCCCATTTGACGGAAGGCGGTGTCAGCAGCATTGTTCATTATAGAGAGCTTTGCTCAATGCCATGCTAACTCCTTTAGAGACCCCAGCATGCATTTTCATTTTCCAACAGGGTAACCCGAAGTTTTAAAGGGAACTATGACTCTTTTGACCGCTAGATGGCAGAAGGTGACCATGAACTGTATCCAAATGGCGCCTTCTGGGTGGGCAAATTAGGGGAAACGCCTCTGTGACCCAAAGTCAGTCCCTAGATACCTACCTCATCCATTGAAGATTTTTTACAGTCATCATCATCATCGTCGTCGTCACTCTCGGTATCAGCTTCCCCTGTGGAATTTTAATAAAAGATCATGAGGTAACAGGTTTGAAGGTTCGAAGCACATGCTAACAGGTGCATTGCCAAAAATTTCCTTGGGTATTGGCCTTTCATGGTTTTAAAATTATTCCTTTGGATATTTAAATTTTATTAATTATATAGATAATTATACTGAGATTTTGAATATGGATTTTTTTCTCCAAGTTTCATTTGTGAATACATTTGAAACGCCCACCTTCTATTGAAAATGCTTTACAATTTTATCTGTATGTTTAAAAAAATATATGGCATCATCTACAGTTAGCTATGGTACACACATCCTATACTGATGTGTACATTGTCTTTCAGGGTCTCTATGACCCTAAAAGGGATAAACTATCCTGTCCCACTTTTCCCTCTTTTTCTGAGCCCTGACTCTTCCATGCGATGTTTGGCCAGTGCTCAGTGACTTTGTGGCCACTTTTCCAAGGCCAGAGGGGACCTCACAGTGAAGGCCAAGGACTAGAGCTAGGACAGAAAGGGTGGGGCTGTGTATACCTAACTACACAAAGACTGTAAGCTAACTATTGTACCCTATGATTTGCCTGCAGGCTTATTTAATGGATGCATTGTCCTCTAAGCAATGCACGTATCTTAGAAAATGGCTACGTCCCGTTTTAAAAAGCAGGATAAAATGCATGAACCCTTAACATAATGATGCATGGAAATCTACTTCAATCAAACATAATTCAGCCTCATCTTTAGCCAATACACAGTCATTTCAATGGATTCTTTTTCCTCTCTGAAGATTTGGTGGTTGATTCTGCTACTTTAAATATTCATACAGCATGAGGTATTAAATTCTGCCACAGCTCTGGGCCTCAGTCAGACCCAATGATATCAGTTACGTAAAAAGATTTTCAAGTTAAATACTACAGAAAGCATTATTTGATTTGACTACTATCTTTTGGCATTCACATGGGGCAATAATAGGATGAGCCCAGTAGATGGCAATATTAGCTCAACAATGAGGCAACTTGCACAGGCAAGGCCCTCCCCCTCAAACCTTCTGAAAGTTAGCCGCCCCGTTTAATCTATATAAATGACACAATGTCCACAGCATGTCTTCGAAGAAGCTTATACATATTTTCATTTGGCTGACGAAGTTCAATCAATTACTCAATGACAGCAGTGGGCAAAGTATTTATGAAATATCTTTAGAGGGAAAAGATTTCTGGGACCAACAAATCATTATTTATGGCTTGTTTATTAGAAGAAAGCACATACAGCCACTTTATGATGCTGATATTGTGTTAGTTAATAAGATGAATCCATTATATTTTGGTTAGAAAACATATTTATATAGAGACATGTTCTTTTAGGAAGTTGGCACTCAAGTTTTTTTAATAATCAAATGTGTTGCTCCAAGTTCTTTTAACCAGTTTTTGCTTTTTAATTAGAGAGGGTATTCTTTTTATAGAGCAATTTAAAAGTTTCTTTGGCAAAACCATTTACACAATGCTTTACAGGACCTAACAACACACCAATCATTTCAAATACTCTATCAGGTCATTCTTTGGTGTATGGGGGGAAAGAAAGAACTTGTCTTCCATGACTCTATGAGCAGACCCTGGTTTCTCCCTTATAAGTCTTTGGCAGGACCTTGGAGGCATCTTAAGACCCTAAAACCTTGCACCATTAAAAAAAAAAATCTACTTTATCCTGGTTCTTTAAGACAAGTGTACTGACAAAGGGCTGAATCCTGGAAAAGGCACCTGGCCAACAGGGGCCATGATAAATAAATTAGTTTTGAAATAAGAACCATTGCATGTTTTTTGAGTTACTTGAGTTCCCATTACCGGAGACCATCTACAAACCAAATGGTAAATTAGCAGTGCTCATTATTCAAGAGCCTACCTACCTATTTAAATGTCCAAAATTTTCCATTGAAAGAAAGATTGCACAACAGACCATGGGGCTAGCTTAGGAAATCTACTGAATTACTAACAGATTGCTGCTTTTTCTTTGTATTAAGCAATGATGTTCACCGCCTATAAAAATCGTTATTTGTGTTATGCATCCAGTTAATAAGAGGGACAGAACTGATAGGGAGAACAGCACACAGGAAAAAAGTTTCTCCATGCAAAGGAAGACCTGCTTTCCTCCCTGGATTCGAGAGGTTCAAGAATTATGCTAGGTAGCCTCTTAATAATATTTCCTCCAAACCTTCAAAAGAACATTCATACTGAGAACACACTGTTTTTGAGAAGAGATTCGGAATTGCATAATAATGTTTGAAATACACATTCAAAAACTATCCCCCCATAAAACCTTTCAAAGAATTGTATAATATCTGTTGATAAGGATTTTTATCTAACCCATAAAAGATATTGGCCATTGAGATGGAAAAATTAAAGAAAAAAAGATAAATCAGTGTCTTGGTCCACCCCCCCATTGTCCTAGAGTTTATATTTTAATTTAAAAAATTATTCTGAAGTCTTTTAATTGACATATGATAGGTATATAGAGAAGTATACATACTTGTACGTGTATAGAGTGATGAATTTGCACTGACTACGCAGACCTTAGTAACTGTTACTGAGATCAAGAAACAAAATAAAACCAGTGTCCAGAGGCCTCCTCGGATCCCCTTCCAGCCACTTCTTCAAGGGTCACCATTTCCTGACTTCTAAGTGCATAGGCTCATTCTGCCTGTTCTTGTACTTTATATGAATGGAATCAATACGGCGGATACTTTTTTGTATTTGATTTCTTTTACTCAACATTATGTTTCTGAGATGTAGCCCTATTCTTGTGTGCAAAGGTAGATCATTACTGTTGCATATTATTCCACAGTGTGAATATACTACAACCTCTTTATCTGTTGATGACATTTGGTTGGTTTCCAGTTTTTAGCTGTTGTGAGTAGCGTGTTAAGCAATTCCTTGCATCTCTCTTGATGACTGTCTATAAACATTTTTGTCCGGTATATGCCTAGGAGGGGACTCCCTGGGGCAGAGGGTGTGCATATGTTCAGTTTTTGTAAATACTGCCAGTTTTCCAAAGTGTTCCAATGTCAGTTAAACTTTCCGTTGAAGAACTTCCTAGATTCAAGCTTCAAGCTTCCTCCCCTTATTCACCCTCCAATCAGGAGAGCTTCCTAATGCCCTTTCCAGAATGCCAAGATTCTGATTAAAGCTAGAAGAGAAATCAGACTAAATGACAAGCAATTCAAAGGAAATGGGGTGACCACTTGGAATTCTTTTCTCATCAACCACAAAAATCTATTTCAACTTAAATCTAAAAGGAAAATTAATGATATTAAGCATCACCTAGGAGCTTTGACAGATAATTCAAGTAACTTTACCTTTTTACATTTTAAAAGAGATCTATAAAATATGGATAAGTGGAATTGCCCAGAACTCTTCAGCATATCATCAATGAGAATATATCCGGTGAATGTCTGGTGCCCAGACCTAAGTGAATGTTAAGGGATCACTGTCCTTGAGAAGTTTAAAATCATGGGGTCAGTTTGAAGATGATTTGGCCAATGTGCTGGACAGAATCATGGCTCCCCCAAATGACCACGTCCTGGGAATATGTCTTGTGTCCTGTGAATATACGGTGAGAGGGACTTTGCAGATAGATTAAGGAACTGAGAAGGGGGAGATTATCTTGGATTATCCAGAAGGGTCCAGTGTAATGGTGTGAGTTCCTAAAAGGAAAGGACCTTTCTTGGCTGTGGTCAGAGGGCAGTACAATGCCAGAAGTGAGACGGGGCATTGCTGGCTTGACACTGGGGAAGGAGCCATAAATCAACAAACGTGGGTGGCCTCTGGAAGCTGGAACCAGCAAGGAATAGGATTCCCTAGGGCCTCCAGGAAGGAAAGCCACCCCGCTGACACCGAGAGTTTAGCCTCGTGAGACCCACGTGGGCCTCCCTACCTACAGAGCTGGAGATAATACGTGTGCATAGTTTTAACGAGGCCACCCAGTTGGTAGCAGAAATAGAAAAACCAGCGCAGTTTTAAAGCGCGTCCAAATAGGAATGTTCAATGTCCTTCTAAGTTAAGTCAGTGCTTCTGAAACCCATGCAGCACAGGGAACAAGAGTCCCTAACCCCTTACCAGCTCCTGGAGATGAGGACTCGAACACGCTGGAAGAGTCGCTGTACGTGTTGGAAGCTTGTTCGGAGAGCTTCTTTTTGCCACTTCCTTCCGACGACTTGTGCGATTTCTTCTTATTTTTCACCAAAATTTTGTACATTAAGTCCATAGGGCTTGGAAGAGGAACTCCAGATTCCAGCTAATGGAAAAGAAAAGCGCCTTCTGTAAAAATATCGCACCGTTAGGGGCGCCCTGGCCGGCTCGGTCGGCAGAGGGTGTGACTCAGGATCTCGGGGTGGTGAGTTCGAGCCCCGCGTTGGGGGTAGAGATGACTTACAAATAAAATCTTAAAAAAAAATATTGCCCCTTTCTTTCAGCTTCCCTCCCCAAGGCGCCAGGACGGTGTTGGACACCAAGAGCTTCTAGATTATTCATTACTACCTTCAGTACAGCTGAGTAAACTCTTGTAAGTGTGTTTTGCTGTTTCGCAGTTCTTTATTTTTTCACATGAAAGGCATATTTTAATTACCAAACTCTTTTTTTTTTTTCCATAACAAAATCCCCATGAATAAGACCATCAAAATGTACTGGGAGACTTGCTAATCCAAAGGTTCAGGAGTTTGCTGTGGACCGTAAATCCAACCATTTTGGGTTCGGACAGATAGGAAGGCCCTGCCTTGGATTTTCAAAGGAGGGAGGCCAGTTAGTGTGGTGTCTGTCAGGAAGGGTTGGTAAAGATGGGCAGGAGCTTCCAGGCAAGCATACAGAATCAACCTTTCAGATGCAGTTTAAAAGGAGGAAACTCCCCCTCCTCCCTCCCGCCATCCAGAACTCTGGAGCTAAGCCACACATGTCCTTGGCATCAGCAGGACTGGACTGGTGGCTTCACATTTCCTTGCAGCCCTGAGATTCAAGCCACCCTTATTGGCAAAGCTTATTTCTTGTGTTTCGAGCTTGCATGGCTAATGAGAAAAATCAATTTCCCATGAGAGGGTTGTTAGATATTGTATCAGAGAGCATGCGTGCAAGTCCCAAGATGGGTTATTTTTAGAAAGTTCAGTGAACTCTCCTACACTGGTCCTTTATTCTTGCAAGGAGTCGGGAGGTGATTGGTATAAAGCCATGTACAAATGTGCGGAGACAAGGGAAAAGGGTTCAAGAGGGGAGAGGCTACTTTGAGGTATTCCTATTGCTTTCCTTCCGAAAGCAGGGATGCTATCAGGGGAATAGGAGCCCTGAGTTCCATGAACAGGCACATGCAAGGACGTGAGGAGTGGACGCAAGGCCAGAAGGGGGTGTCATTGTGCCACCTGCCACGTCCCATTTTTCTCCACCATATCTCTCAAAGGGTGTGATAAGGTTCCTGGTTGGTGATCAGAGCCCCGGAATGTCTCCGCGGCTGATTGTGATGGGGGAGGGGGGGATTCTGTAGTCCTGACAGTCACATCGGTCAGAGGGGGAAGGAGAAGATGGAGGGTACAGGAAGAAGACAGAGGCATTTCTTTCAGTCTCAGCAGGGCACACTGAAGGTTTCCTCCTGGTCAGACTTCATTATCAACTGAATGAATCTTACTGAGCAACACGGAAAGGAGGTAAGGAAGTCCCCCCCCCCCCAGCTCCAGGGGCATTCCTTCAAGGGTAAACCTTGAAACTGCTTACTGGGTATTTTTCCAGTGGTTCCATGAGAAGAGCATCTCCAAAGATCAGTCGGCAATACTCCGCCATCTTGGCTTGCTGCTTTGGGCTAAGGGGAATGAGAGAAAGAAAGCAAACAAGGAGGCTCATTTAAAGAGTTTGGACAGGATTACTTTTCGTTATTAATTATAGAAAGAGGAGATTCCCTCTCTTACCCTTCAGGATTAGTATTTATCATTCTAACCCCCTTGTTTATTATCCTGACTTCTGTGAATTTGAATACCACATGGCAGGTAGACAGTGAAAGCTATTCCTAAGGCTGGTCTCCATAGACACAGAGGGAGAGTATAGCAGGTCATTTGCCAGTCACTGGATTCTTGAATGTCTCAGAATTATGGGCTCAGTTCCTTTTGTTCAATTTCCTGATTCTAAGTCAAATGCAAGACCTTGGGGGCAGAACTCATCCGTGAGTCCGGGTGAATTCTTGGTTGAGATTTGTCTAACCTGCAGAGAGCTAGGCTGTGGAGGAGTGTTTTTAAGGAGGTGAGAGAGGAGGAGAGGGAGGAAAAGAGGGGGAGAGAGAGAGAGAGAGGGAATCTTAAAACACAGAAGGGCCGTCAGGCAGAAGTGTGTCCACTTCTGTGTGTGTCCAGGAGGGGATCCTGGAGGAAAGGTAAAAGAAGCAGGCACATTGGGGAAAGGTGTCTGCACCCCTTATGTGCATAATAGGGCAGCAGAGGTGGTGTCAGCCTGACTATGGACCAGGAGGAATCTGGTCTGATAGACAAAGGCTGGAGCTGTAGGCTTTGCTGAGCTGAGCTCCAGGCTCTCAACCACTCTGGATCTATAAAATGAGGATAATAACTGTTCTTGGAAAAGGACAGAAGGTGCCGAGAAGATGAAGTGGAGTAATGGTTGCAAATGCCTTTGACCCGTTTAAAGAGTGGGGCAGATGTAAGATGATCCAGGGTTAGGAGGCAGCCTCCACTCAGCTGGATGACTTGTGCACTTGCTAACACAGAAACAGTCGATGCGAGGGAACACCTGCATCTTTCAATACTCCTGGTTCCTTTGACCTTTTAAAAAGCAATAACATTTTTTTTCTTATTCTGTAGAATGTTAAATATCATTACAAAGGTATCCAATTCCACTGGGTTTTATGGACTGTGAGTTTGATCTACAGGCTGTCAAACTTGATTTCCAATAGTTGTCTCTGTCTGCTGTAATGTTAATACATTTTAGCAGAACTGAGATTATAGTAAGAATAAGTAAGTGATAAAAAAAAGTGATAAAAAAAGTCTTCTCTACTACAATTCAAATCAATTATAAAATGTGATTCTCTCTTTCTCTCTTCTGTAACTATTAAGCCTGGATCATGGACTGGTTCCCCCCACCCCGGGAAGGGGGTGCTCTGGGGATTCAAATTGTATTGCAATGGTCCACAGGGAAAACCACTTTTTTATATCCTTTTTTAAAGGCATATAGTTTTTGGGGTCAAGTGAGTTCTCTGGGGTTCAAGTGGAAGCCCAAAGCCACTGCTTTGTTGGAACTGCAGGGAGAGGCGAAGAGAATCAAAGAACTTGCAAAGCCCTGCAGAATGACCTCCTAGCTTCTCGTCGTCGTCCTTTCTTGACCTATAGGTGATTTTACCGTGTGGCTTATGCAGCCCTCAGAATATTCCTCACCAGGATCAGGGAGAGGGGAAAACTTGCCACCCAGAGGACTGATCCTAAAAAGCATGGGGGTGGTTGTTTAAGGACAAGTCACTAGAAGTTGGGGAGCAAGCAGAGAGGTGGCTGATTTGGCAGAGCAGTCTGGGTATCCTCTGTTCAGATGCTGTTGCTCAAAGGATGACTAGCCCGGGGGCTCAATAAAGCCAAACAGCTCTTTGGCTGTAGCTGCGACAAGTCCACCTGTGCCCGGCCAACTCGTTCCAGGCTGCACAGGAGAAACTGTCCAAACCCTTCATTTCGCTTTCACAGAATGATGCTACTCAGTGTCACAGATTTGCTACTCCAAGTGTGGGCCACAGACCAGTAGCGTCAACATAACAGCACCTAGAGCTGGTCAGAAATGCAGATTCAAGGCCTCCAGTGCAGATTCTGAGTCAGACTCTCAGGAGAAGCGGGGCGCAGGGGTCTTCACAGACCCTCTAGGTGATTCTGATGCATGCTCAAGTTTGAGAACTGTTGTGATAGATTAAAATAAGTCAGCAGGTGCTGAAGGAGATGACATTTTTCTTGAGTGTTGGAACTTGGGAGCCCCTAGTTCCTTTGACCAGAGACCTAGAGTAAAAAGAGAGAGTTTTACCCTAATGCCCTGCTTTCAGGAATTTTAGGGGAGCCATATTCACACCAGTGGAGGGATTTCGAGGCGATGTTCCAGGTGTCTCTAAGCAGGTGACAGGCAGAGTCCTCTGTCCTTTGTCAAGCTGCCCCCAAACCAGGCCCTAGGAAGGATTTTGCTGGAGCAAAATCTTGCCTGATTCCACTAAAGAATCACTGGAGCTGTTAATGCTGCAGGTGGTAGGGCTGAGGGCCAGGCCCTGATTCACTGAATTGGGAGAGGAATCCTGAAACCTGTATTTGTAACAAGCTTGCAGGCAGCTCTGATGCGGGTAGTTAGTGGACTACAGTGTTTAAAGTAATGCTCTGACACTTCATCCAAATTACCTGGGGTCTTAAGAAAATGACACTTCCTAGGCAGCATCAGCGTGGGGCCTGAGATTCTGCATTTCTTTCTTTCTTTTTTTTTTTTTAAGTAAACTCTACCCAAAACGTGGGGCTCAAACTCATGACCCTGTGGTCAAGATTCACATGCTCTATTGACTGAGCCAGCCAGGTGCCCCGACTCTGCATTTCTAACAAGCTCCTCAATGATGCAGATGCTGCTGGTCTGCGGATCAGGCACTCTGAAGAACAAGGATCTAAATCTGACGTTTTCAAATTTGCCTCAAAATCAACTGAGGTGAAGAGAACAAGAGGGAGTTTTCCAAGAAAAAGTAAAATGGGTTACTTGGTAATCAGGCTGTTCACACACACACACACACACACACACACACCTGTCAGGAACCAAATCAGAGCAGAGAGGAGAGTGAATAGACAAAGTCAGAGGAAAACCAAGCAACTTTGTGGGTCAAAACTGCAGAAATAAAAGACATTCACATTGCAGTTAGAGAGCAAGAAAAAAAAAAAAAAATCCTGAGGCGCTCAGAGCATCCACATCAGCTACTGTGGAGACGAAATGACAGGAAATACTCACAAATACATTTTGAGCTTCAGGCCATAGCAGGCACATTTGGGCATAGTCACATACCCCTAAAGTGGAGGCACCTGGCCCAGTGGTCAGTTTTCCGACCAAGGACTGCGCCCCATGAAATGTCATGGTGTAAATCCTCCACATTGAACTAAACCAACCTCCTTCTTTATAGAGGAGGAAGCTGTAACCCTTGGAAATTAAGGACCTTGTCCAAAATCTCCCATTATCTGTGGTTGAACCAGAGCTAGGGGTTACTTTGTTTGAGTTCAGTGTAGAATCCTTTTAATGAAAATGCTAGCTTATAAATTAGGTGGAGCATCAGAGTTAGCTAGGGCCTTTTTTTTTTTCTTTTAAGATCTCAAAGTCTCATTTCTACAAAATCAAAATGGGGTGTGGGAGTATGGTTCAGGAATCTGCATTTTATGGGATTCTGATGGAGCAGGGAGAGAAGGATGAATTGCCAGCACCTAATGGCAGACCTCCCTTTGTTGTTCGTAGATAGGGAATTTCAAGTACTTGGAGGGAAAATAAAAAATCCAGTAGATTTCTTCCTTTCTTCCGGGGTGAGTTTGTTTTCGAAGTGTGGCTCAAAGGACCCTGACCCACAGTTCTGAATCTGGCATTTTGTAGATGCAGCACACCGGAAAATGAAATGGTCCACTAGAAATGGCAAATAGGTGGTGGATATTTTTTGTGGGGGGGTGTCTCTTGGTCACTGTGTTGCGAAGGATTCTGAGGTTTATTTCTAGGTGTGGGAAAGAGGGCTGCACGTGAAAAATGATGACTGCCACTGGGTTCAGCACTGAAGTGAGGTGGCCCACATGTCAAGCATGGGGTTTTACTAGCAAAGGGAAAAAGCTTACCAGTTTTCTTTGGGTGTGTGAATAATCCTCACAGGAGAGGATTGAAGCTGAGCGATTTTGACATGTGAAGCTCCAGGATCATGGAAACATGAAACAAACAGCTTTCCCCCACGATAGACCTCAGTATCTTACTATTTCACTGCCTTAGGTGTATCTCACTGGTTTGGGGTAACTATCATGGCATCCTGTTTTCTTTTGTGTTTTCCTGTTTTCTTTTGTGACATATGAATTACTAATAAACTTTTAATAGCTAAATATCTCATTTTTAAACCAGAAAGGACAGTATCATGATACTGTCTTCTTGCTTTTGTGTGCAGTGCAAGGTTTGGTTTTCATACCCTATTTTGGCTCCCTATGGGTTTGGTGTTGAAAAACCACAAAAAATGTCCTGTGGTTAAGGGTCACAAGCCACATAAAAGTGAACATTTACAGACAGTTGCCTTGTCGATGTTCTGGTTGTCTTAATTCGATATTTTGAAGGCTCCAGATGCATCTGCTTAGGTGTGGGGATAGTGTTGGTGAAACGTGTGATTTCTGAAGCCAGACCAGACAGATTTGAATCCCAGCCGTGTCACCTTTTAGCTGCCTGGCTTTGGGTAAGTTACTCACTCTCTTTGGGGCTCAGTTTCAACATCTACAAAATAGGGATTATCACAATAATATTTATTCTTAGGAGCCCCTGGGTTTGTGGTGAGGGGTTACATGACCTTACGCCTGTAAGGTTGCTCAGCACATAATATAAACTCAATAAATATTAGCTGTTATTATGTTTGTGGTGGTAGGTAGTTATTGATAGCTCTCTGGTTCCCTTATAGGAAAGTTCAATGGGGCAGGTGTGAGAATCAAGAGTGGAACTAGAGCTTTTCATCTTGTCTAATTTACATAGAAACATTTCTTGAAGACCATAAATATGCTAGATTCGGAGATATTTCTCGAAAAGAAATATAATACATCTATAAGTCTGGGAACTATGGTGCCTGAAAGAAAGGTGCTAAAAGCCTGTTAGAGCCCAGTTACAGATGGATGGGCAGAAATGAGAAAACGCTCATGCGCAAGTCAGGGTCGTCACAGCAAATGAGGTATTAAATACAGCAACTCAAGAGGCGCTCCCTTTAGTTCGAAGAGAGATAGCAATGAAACAGAATCAATTCTTTTCTCTTCAGCTGCCCCTCAGAAGTGTTAGAAAAACTATCTGCCAAAGGATTAAATCATTCATTGGCTGTTTCCCAGTGCAACAGAACCAAGAGCTGGTAAATGTAATATGGATTTCCTGAGGGCAAACTAGAAATACAGATAATTATAAAATTGGTTACTTCAAAACAAGGCCCTTCTCCATGATCACAGTAACAAATGATCACATTTACTTGGAAATTCCTCAGGCTGAAATGTGCTCATGACCAAACTGTTTAAGATTTTAGTGAATTCTTAAAGAATTCGTAAATTGAAGCATGTGTTGCAAATTAGTTGGACAAAGGGAATCAATCAGTAGCTTGGGAAAGACTTTTCAATAAGAAGAAGGGTAAAAAAAGAACCCGTGAGCCACATTAGGACAGGTGCTGTTGGCTTTTAGTTGAGAAATCTGGCTCAGGTTGTTGAAAGAGAGGGCATCACAAATTCTCTTTTGAGCAATGGTGGTCACTTCTACACAGTCTTCAGCCTTTCATTCCATGGACTAGAATTTTAGTTTCTTGAATTTTGATTCAAAGTAGAGAAAACTCTTTCATTTTGAAGCACTTTAAACTAAGTAACGATAGGGTAAACTAATGCCCACATTTTAGATAGAAACATGTCTTACTCTGGCATTTTGTGATAAAATGAATATAAAATAGTTAAGTCAAAGTATCTTTTCTTTGTGTGGCTCAGCGATAAGGGCAGGCTATTTTTGAAATAGGACCACATTTACAAATACTAACGAACAAGGGCAACCAATGGGAAGAGGAAGGAGGAGCATCTGGTGGTCTGAGTTCTGTGTAAGCTCAGGCAGTGGAAGAGAATTTACAGCTTTCTCTCCACCAACTCCAGAGTGTTCAGAACTGGCCATTTGAACTGGCGATTTTTGCGTGGCAAAACAGACTATAAATGTGCATGCAATAAAAGGAGCTAATGAAGGAAGATTATAAAAATGGCCCACCAAAAGAGAGACATGGTATTATTCTACACCACTGGAAAAAGAGGAGTCCTTAATTTAAAATCCTGTGACCTGAAAATAGATTTCCCAAGTCCAGTGAATTATTGTAATGTTAAAGAGGTTTAAGCGAGTGAATCCCAACATATGCAGAAGAAAACATGACACTTAAGACATAACATCATTGAGGAACACAATTAATAATGTCAAATAATCTTAAATCTGATGCACAATTATTAAACATGCCTTCTTTGGGAAAAAGACTCCCCAGTGAATGTGTGGAATACTTACGAATCTACGTGGTTCTCAAATGAAAGCAGAATTGGAAAAGGTGACGTCTTAAATGCACACTCAGCAATTGCTTCTATCACTTCCTAAAAACGAGAACACGCATATATTCAATATGCCAGAATTCTAATGTGTATGTATGGGCATAGTAACCCCTTTGGGTTACTATGCCCATTAACGGGGTTGCCTTTTCCTTCATAGAATTGTATGAAAAGGCCTGAAGTGGCTAGAAGGGGCTGTGCAAGCTGCTGGACTATACATTTTCTGATTCTTTTCTTTTTTTTTTTTTTTT